AAATCATTTTTCTTACGAGTCACTGTCTCTTCACGGTGTAACGCCGCCGGCGTGGGAAAAGAACATCCACCGCCTTCACGTTGGGCCTGATGGGTCAGAACCGTGATCACAGACATGTTCATTTGGTCTCGTCCAAACCCCAAGTGCTGCCGCTCTCCTCGCTTGCCCTCTTCCCCAGTGGGGGACCTAAAGATTTAGAATAATAGCTCCTACCTTTACTGTTGTCTCCCGTGTTCAACAGCAGCCTAGTGCTAGCGTCGCGTAGCGCTTGCTCCCTGCAGCCCCGGGGTGTGGAGTGAGAGGTGGCATCTGCAAAGGGTTGGTCCAAACAGGCTTCGGCTGGTGAAACTTCCCCCTGGTGCTTCTCAGGTCTGGAGCTGTAGCCTGACTTTCTGGATAATGATGATGGAGATGTACAAAATAAACTCACTCTTGCTTCTTTCTTACTGCGGAATTATTCTTTGCCAGCTTTGTGTTCATGGTTTATAGCCCTATCAGCTTGAATTACCTTAGTGTTTGTGCTCCTTCATTCAGCAGGTGTAAAAGGAGGAAAAATATTCTTGTAGTTCATACCTGTATGGTGGGAAAGCTAAAAAAGGAAAAGAAATCGATCTTTAGAAATGTTAGTGAGGCTGTGAATTAACAGCAGAGTATCAGGGGTGCTTGTCTGAGTCTATCCCTCAGTCTCTAATTGATTAAGATTTTGTTTTATTACAGTTTTAAGCTTTTTTTGTTTTAAGCTTTATGCTCAAGTTCACTGCTGTCAACTTTTTCACAGTGGAAATGTATCCAATATGTTTGGGTTTTTTCAAAATTTTTAAATCTACCAACCAAGAACGCTTGTTCAGTGACGCTGGAATCCAAGGTCTTGGTGGCCGTGGAAACTCAGGTATCCTCTTAACTGTAAAGAAGAGGAAGCGTTGGTTGTGGGGTTGAGGGAAAGGCAGAGAAGCGTGGGCAGATTTTGGTTTGTTGCTTCAGCCCATTCTACAGGTTCTGGTTAAACAGTAGAGGTTTCCAGTCTCTAAGATTGTTCCTTCACCAGCATTAATTTGTGGGAATAAAGAACCAAAAGGAAAAATTAGATTATTAAGGTCTACTCTAATATCACAGAATCTCAGAATGGTTTGGGTGGGAAGGGACCTTCAAGACTCCCCAGCCCCACACCCTGCCATGGGCAGGGACACCTTCCACCAGACCAGGTTGCTCCAAGCCTCATCCAGCCTGGCCTTGGACACTCCCAGGGATGGGGCATCCACAGCTTCTCTGGGAACCTGTCTAAACAAAGTCTTTAAATCTTCGCGTTAGAACACTTGAGATACTGTATGTGTTCTCTTAGCGTGTATATAAACTTCTGCAGAATCCGTGTATGTAAGTATTCAGATTTTAAAACTTAGAAAAAGACTTTGAGATTTTTACCACTTAGATCAGTGAGCATACCTGGCTTGTCTACAGGAGGAAAATCTGATAAATAGTAGGATTGTTAATGTAGTTCCAGTTTGATACAGCAGTGCGTTTTAATTAGTATGCATGCCTATTGCAGGCATCTGCATATAATTAAATGAAAGGGTAAGCAGCTCCTGGATGGGGATAATGCATTATAAGCCCTGTTCATCACCTTCCAAAGCTTCTTGACCAAAACCATCCCCTGAAACCTCAATGCAGGCAGGAGGTAGTAACGTTCTCTGGCGTTGGGGTAAGATTGTTAAGGTTAAATGCTGAGAGGAACTTAAGCACATCAGTGTCTTCTCTAAAGCTAAGGGGTCTTTCATATGGTCTTACAGCCAGTAGCCTGAAACTTCGATTTCCTTATGGTTTTGTGCTCCTGGGTTTGGAATCCTGGTGTCGCCCGGCATGGGAATGTTAGTGTATCCTAGGGAAGAAGGCAACAATATGTTGATGTGACATAATGTGTGTTCTCCTCATCTCTTTTCCTAGCTTAGACAGACCATGACAAAGTTCTGTCAAGAGCATTTGGCTCCGAAAGCCCAACAGATTGACCAGGAAAATGAATTCAGAGACATGCGGGCAAGTATTTCATGTGTGTGTTCAAAATAGATGGTAGTGAAGCCTGTCTGTGCTTTGATCTGTGCATTAGTTCAAAGAATCCCAGTCCACACCACAGGAACATATGCATTGACTTTTCAAACTTGAAAGCCGTAGAGAAAACAATTTTTTGATTTCCTGTTTTTCTTTTGTTAACAAAACTCTCCACAACCTGGGGCAGAACCCAGCCAGCATCCAATTAAAAAAGCCCAATATGGATTGATAATGGTCCTGTTTGGATTCTCATCGTGGCGTTTCTGCTTGGCTCTGCTGGGACTCCTGCAGAGTCTTTGCAGTCTCCTTGCTAGGACCCTTGGGTGTCTGAGCTTCCTCTCAAATTGGTTGTGAAAATGTTGTGTGCAAATGCTGAAATGTGGAGCTGTTTGACTGCCGAGCTGAAACTCGCCTTCCTCCCAAAACCAACAAGTTCTGTGCAGCGGGGTGGTGTGATTGATGAAAATGAGAGATCTAACTATTGGTTTTCATAAGCTCCACAAGACTTAAAAAGCTCAGAACATCTGCTAGGATTTCCCGGAGCTCTGATGTTGACATTGTCGGGGATGTATGTGCAGCTTTGAAGTTAAGTACATAAATTTAGTCTGGCGTGCCAGATGTCATCCAGAGCTATTGAATAATACTTTTTGAAGTCTCTGGAGGCTATTCACTGATAATTATCTTACCGCTGGGCCATGTGACAAGCATTCACCTGCGTGTCCATGGTGTGGCGGAGGAGAGGCAGCAGTCGGAAGCAGCAGCAAAGAGGTGACCCCTCTAGCACACGCGTGGTCACCGTTGGTGACATCCTTTGCTGCCGCATTGCGTCGTGGCTTCCCTCTGGCGCTGCGATGCCGTGTGCCAGACTCGGCTGATGTGTGTGTCTCAAGTCAGCTCTGTGCCCCGGGTCACGTGCCTGTCACTTGAGCGGGGGCATTGCCGGAGTGATAAAACTGGGTAATATAAACAGCAGCGGTGGCGGTCAGGGAGGACAGCTTGTTCCCTCGCAGATGAACTTTGTAGTGTGTGTGTCCAGCTGTGCAAGGCCCAGTAATGCTATCCAGTCCCCGTCTGCGTCCAGTGTCCTGGCAGTCTTGAGAACCTACAGCTTATGTATGTGAGTGGCCCTGGTGGATTCAGCTCCTTTAGCTTCACAAGCCCAAAGCGTTCACAAATTCTCTGTTGTGGCCCCTTTTATCACTCGTGCCCTCTGCAAGGCGGGCAGCGCCTCTGCCTGCCCCGGCTGTAACGTTCCCTTTTCTTAATCTCTCCCAGGGAGGCCTCCTTGGCTTCACTTCCCAGCTCTACTAGAAGAGTTTTAAAGTGCCAGCTAAGGGCAACCCTGTTATCTAATTCCAGTCACGGATAGCTTATGCTAACTGCTCCTTGGCAACCACAGGTTGATAGGCCTACAGAGTGCTGCCAGAGCACACGGACGAGGATGCGTGAGGTGAAGACAAGCGTAAAGTTGATTTAGGATGTTAAGACTTAAATTTAGCAAGAATGTATATGAAAACCTAGAAACATAGCTTTTTGAAAAATGGGAGGTTTTTATTCATAAAAGTCCTCTTTAAACTGGGCAATGAGTTAAATCTTTGGACCCATCCTTCCAGAATTAAATGTAGGTTGTGAATTCTCACTGAATTCAACACACCCTCCCATGTGTAGCATAACTAGCATCCTGAAGTCTGTCTGAGTTCTTAGTCCAAAGAATGGAGCTGCTGCTGCAGGAGGAATAGCTGTCGATGTATTGATCTCTGAGGTATCACAGGAATGAGGTAAATTGGTGTGTCCGGGGAGCTACCTGGGAAAAGTTCTTACGCTGATGCCCTGACTGCGAGTCTGGACTGACTGCTTGTTCTGTATTTGTAGGAGTTCTGGAAGAAACTTGGGGAACTGGGCGTTCTGGGGATCACAGCTCCAGGTAAGGCTGTTCCCACCTTTTACCTTCTGCTGAGTGATTCTTCAGACAAAAGAGAGACTAATCTCACCCTTTCCAGTTCATGACAGCCTTGTCTGGGATGAGACATCCATTTTGTCCAGAAGCTCCTGTCTCTGTGTTTCTTAAAATCTCTCTTTGGCAACATTTTTATTCTTCACTGAATCAGAATCTTTTTTCCTTGTTAGACTTGTGGATAAAACACGTTTTACAATTTAAAATTACTGTTCAGAAATGATTTCTCCAGATAAAACATGTGCAACATGAACATGTTTGCGCTTCTCTAATGTGAAGCGTTGAAGTTCACTGCTTCAAGTTTTGAAGAACGAGAGCTGTAGATAAAAGTACCCTAGAACAAGCATCCCCCTCTAATAGGAGAAGTTAGAGGGTGTGAAGCAACGCTGTGAAAAGCTGTGATAACTAATGGGGAGCTGACCACATCCAACCAGTCAGAAGAAAAAATCAGGGCAAATCTTATTCAGCCTTGTCCAGGTCAGTTGAAAAGTGTTTTGATTAATGTTATAGATGACTGAGGCTGCTGCGGGCATGCTGAATGCACTAAGGCAGTGTAATGAGGAGAAGCCCTTAGTGGAGAAAAGCAGCCAATGGGGCCTTTATTTCCCCATCGTAAAGTCTGTGTTGCTGGATGTGCGTGTGCAAAGGCTTCTGCAGAAGCAAGCTGAATAGCAATGCGTTGAAGTAATGCCTCTGCATTTCTTTCAGTGGCGCTGAGTCTGCTTGAAAGAGTCTGTATTTCTGCTTTCTTTCTCTTTACTCTTCCCAATTTACTGCTGCTCCTGTTTTTTCTCACTCTTACCTTCTTTCTTCTTTGATGTTGTGCCTGAGGCTTACAGCAGTTTCCCACACTATAAATAAGCCATCCCCTCATGAGTCCTGTCCCTTCTGATTTCCTCAAAGATTTACCTCTAAAACCCTCCTATGCCCAGATTTTTTTTGCCTTATTTTTGATTGTGTAGTTGCATGCACTTTCTTTACTGGTGTTGGTTTTGCTGGAGGAGGAGGAGACTGGGATTTAGGATGTGAAGATAATGTAAATCTTAGGAGGGCATGTGCTCAATTAGCTGGCGTGTTTAGGCACCAGTGGATCAAGTCTATTAAAGGAGCATTTTAAATAAGTTCTTTGTGTTTTCCCCTTAAAACTAGGAAAACTATGTTGGCTTGTAATTTTCCATTTATTCTATAAAGACTGAGTTAAGAAATGCAAATGCAGGATTATTTTCTTGTACCTCTTGCAGTACAAAGCAATCATGGGCCAGTCCTGCTTACAGCAGGCAGTTACCTTTCCTTTTGTGAGGCAAGAGCCCCGAACCCATCCATTCTATAGGAATGAAAACTCTCTTGTTTTGGCATATATGACAAATTGTTCAGCCTGTCTTTTAGGATATTGATAGTAAACCCCCAAACTCTGATTTGTAGTAGAGAGGCAGTTTTGGAGGGTGAAGAGCCCTGCAGATGAAGACGGGAGCCAACGAGTGACCTGGGAGGAAAGGCTGCACGTAATGCCAGTGGCTGCTGTGCTCGTTCGATGAGTTAAGGGCAGTAGCTCTCCTCGAGCCCAGGGTGTGCGCTCAGCTCTCTGGTCCCTCTGAGCACACAAACATATTTACTGTTACCACTGTTGCTGCTGCTGCTTGCTTATAGCACTCACGGTGATGACGAGTAAGTGCTCTCAGATCACCCCCCCAACTCATTCGTGGTGTTTAGGTCCTCCTGGCTTAGTTCCTTTCTTCGCAGTACAATCGCTTGCTTCTTGCCTGTCGAACGAAGCTTGTACTTTGGGATGTGACTGTATTTGTGTGTATGTAGATGTGTGTAGGCGTATACGTGTATGTTTGTGTAGGCTGTCGCTGCTCAAGGCCATCTCAGCCTTCTCTCTCCCTGTTCTGCTGCGTGCCTTTCCTCTTCACCACCACCTCTGGGCTCAGCTCAGTGTGCCTCGCTAGATTCCCTGTTGCAACAGCCGTGCTGCTCTGTCTCACTTCATCCCCTCTGAAAATCCACATTCTTGCCAATGTTCAGTTACAGCAGTGACATTTATGGATCATTCTCATTCCAAATCGGCCATCCATCAAAATGTTGATCTCCTGCACAGTTGTGGCCATAGAGAAGTCCTTCACACTCCACTTTTTGAGCAGTTTGACCCCTGAACAAGCGAGGAATCCTCAAACGTGTGGACTTACAAACTTTGCCTGTGTTCCTTGGTCTCCTCGCCTAATACAGGTTGCCACTTTGTGATTTAGTCTTTGTGATAATATTCAGGTTGCACTTAAGGATGGTTGACAAGGAGTCACTATTGTGCAAGTATCAGTAGCGTGTCTTAGATGTATCCTTATGCATATAAAATGTATAAATCTATGCTGTGAAAGTAAATTATTGGTTATGCTGAAGAAGTGACATCACCGTGCCTTTACGATAAGAAAACTGAAATTCAGAGAGGATGGGGAAGCCAGAAGTACCCAGCTCAGGGACAGTGTCAGTCAAAACCAGCAGCTTTCTTGTGTCGTAGATCCCATTTTACTCAGCCTGACCCTGGGATCTTGTGTGATACACTCCATGGTGTTAGATGTGAAGTTTCTCTTCTCTTTTAGTGGAATATGGTGGATCAGCTCTGGGGTATCTGGACCACGTGCTTGTGATGGAGGAAATTTCTCGCGCGTCAGCTTCTGTTGGGCTGAGTTACGGTGCCCACTCAAACCTTTGTATCAACCAGCTAGTGCGTAATGGCAACGAAGCCCAGAAGAACAAGTACTTGCCCAAGGTATGTGGCTGGAAGACGGGGGGGAACGGGAAAGCGTTTAGGCTGCATGGAAGGCTGAGTGCCTTTCGCAGTGGGTAGCATGTTAAGTACTAGCCGATTTCAGTCACCCAGCCGTCAGAAAGTGCTGTGCTTGCCAAACGTGCCCTTCTCTACCTTGATAATTTTTGGCCCCTTCGACCTCAGCCTGTGCCGAGCCCGGCGTCTGTAGGCAGCACAGTCCAGCTCTGTGGAGCTGTGTTCCTAAATGAGGCTTTGAGGTGGCACTGGATGATGTTACTCTGAATTCCCAAATTGTTTTGAGATTTCTGAATTAAACTCACTGCTTTCCTATTCTATCTTCTTCCTTTCTCACTGCTCAAATGCTTGGCTTGCCTGTGCTAATTAACTACACGTGCAACTTCATCATTTGGGGCATTGATGTTTGTGACTCAAAAGCGTGTTAACACACTTCCGTATTTAAACGCATGGAAAAATGTAACGAGTGGGTTGAATCCCGGCTACTGAAATTACCAGCACAGGAAACTTGATGTAAACTACGTGCACCATGCAGTGTTGTTTCCTCAAAGCGTTGTGCAGCCTGCTCATAGGTAACCCGGAGTTGTCCTCCCTGCTGCTCAGGCACATTTTAATGCCCTCCTCCTCTGCCGTCCTAGGGGATGTGCGATTGCTTTAGTTTGTGTCTCGGTTCATGACTTGGTAGATATGCACTGATAGTTTGAATCGGTTGGACGTGTATCTTAAGCCTTGAGTCTGTTGTGTTGGTTTTTTTTTTTTTTAAAAAAAAAAGAGATCAAAAGGAGAAGACTGATAAAAGCACAGAGTGAGAGGAAAAGAGGGCAAGGAGAAAAGGGCAGGATGAAAGGAACAGCAGAGAGGAAGCAACAGCTATGCCAGAGCCTGGTATGAGCAGGCACAGAAGGAGGGTGTCCATCTGCTCTTGTAGTGCGAGCGTGGGGAGACCGGGCTGTGAGAACATTGCAAGAGCTTTGCAATCTCTTTTCACCCCCTCGTTGGCCTCTGGTGTTTAACGACTCCTGCGAATGTAAAAGGGCAGTCGTGCAGTGCAGAACAAGGAGCCTGTGAAAGGCATATGGCTGCCTGCGTGGTTCTTCTGGCACCTTCCTGGAGCTGGTGTGTTATAAGCAGAGCCACACGCACCTCGCTCGGAGGAGTTGAGCCACCCCTCTCATCCCACTGTGACTTGGTTCTGCTCCCTCGGCGGAGCAGCACAGGGAGCTCCCTGCTAGGGCCCTGCCAGAAGAGCAGCTCTCGTGTGCAGCGCTCACACAGGATAGCTACCGGGGGGAGCCAGTGCAGCAGGGAAAAACAGAAGGAAGGCAGGCTAGAGAGGGGACAGAAACAAAGCGACTGTTCTCCCTCCCTTGCTTATATTTGCCTTTTCCTCCAGCTAATCAGCGGGGAGCACATCGGAGCCTTAGCGATGAGTGAACCCAATGCTGGATCTGATGTCGTGTCCATGAAGCTGAAAGCAGATAAGAAAGGTAAAGCATGTCATGCCCTGCCCGGATAGATAGCCGGCATAAGTAACGCCCCCTGTACATCTAGACTAACCTCCCCGACACCACTGAGACACGGTGCTTAGTCCTGGGTGTACCAGGCCACGTTTGCAGGCTCGAGCTGCCTCCTGGGAGATTCAGCCTGTGGTACAGCCCCAGGTAGTGAAGGTGCAGGGTGGATGGTTGAAGGTCTAAAAGTGGAGGTCTGGTTTTGGTGGTATTATGGAGCCGGTGCTAGGTGCCTTAGTTTGTCAGGCATTGGTTGAACTGGTTTTGGACTCCAGAAATGAAGGAAATGAGTTTTCTCAAAGCTGGGAAGAATTTGTGCATGCCGTTTGTTGGGGTCGTAAAGAACATTCTTGGAAGCCTGTTTTGGAATAAATGGAGCCAGGAGATAGGTGTTGCCTTGTTGTGAGATAACAGATTGCAGCTCTTTGCTTCTAGGAGACTACTTTGTTTTGAATGGGAACAAATTTTGGATCACCAATGGGCCAGACGCAGATGTCCTCATCGTTTATGCTAAAACTGACATTAATGCTGTTCCGGCCTCCCGAGGTATAACTGCGTTCATTGTGGAGAGGGTAGGTTTAACCGTTCTCACAGGCTTATTGTAGTGTGGTTTTTAAAGCTCACTCCACCCTAGCTGGCTCTCTTAGGGGCCAGCTAGTTTGCTTTCTATAACTGCCAGCCCTTTGCTCAAACTGCCTGCATTTTGTAAAGATTAGTCCTCTGTCCCAGTGACGTGGCGTGTTGCCCTGTCAGCTGGGTGCTCCTAGATTTTGGTATCCAAGCATATAGCCAGTCTTTTGGGCTAGAAACGTGGAGAGAATAGACAAGATTCCAATATAAAAGGGCTTAATTGTTGCCAAAAGTTATCAGAGATATTGGAGGTTTGTAAATATGTCTTACTATCCCATTATCTAGCTTTTTGGGGTTTTATAAAGCCAAGACACTAGTAGCTCTATTCACCTCTTCCCCCCGTTTTCTTGCGCTACCCTGTTGGAATCCTGAAATGACCCAAGCATGCGTGCAAGGGAAATTTTGCAGATCTGTAGTGATTTTTATTTAAGCTGTCAGAATTGAGATTTGAAATGGGTTTTTACTGTCTTGACCTTGCAGGGCATGCCAGGCTTCAGCACAGCCCAGAAGCTCGATAAGCTGGGAATGAGAGGGTCTAACACCTGTGAATTGATCTTTGAAGACTGTAAGATCCCCGGTGAGTTGAGTTCAGGTGTGCATGTGGTGGTTTCCTGTCTTCTTGATCAGATAAATGGGATCACTGATTACGTGCATGTTCAGGCTGTGACCTGGAGGACTTTGCAGATGGTTATCTGCTCTTTGTCAACCTCACATGGAGCTGGTGGAACTGGAAAAGTGCAGTCTGCTGGTTTCCAGTGGATGAGCACATCCCTTGTTAGGTTACTCCTGTTTCACCCTCATGGATTTATCTCTTAACCACAGCATCTGCAAAGCCTAGGTGAGGCTTCCAAAGGAACGTGTTTGTTCCCACTGCAGCTCCCCGTGTTGTGTATAGGAGAGCTTATTTCCCTTGAAGGTTTTTTTTCCTCCAAAAGCCCTGGAGATATCTGTTGGCTTTTGGCTTGCCTGTAACACTTCTGAGTTCTTTCAGGGTCAGGGCCTGAAAATGGACATCCTTTCCCCCATCCATACAGCAGAGGCCATGGTACTGGCCATTTTTGTTGCTGCAGTGGCTATTTTTGTTGATAGAAAATTGACAGCCACTGTATAGCAAGTGGAGGAGATGCCTTATCTGAACTCCTGAAAATCCTAATTCCGTATCTGCAGAGCAAGTACCTCCTGCTTCCCATACACCACCCAAAGCTGCTTTGCTGTAGGTGGAAGAGTTTCAGCTGAAATCCGACATTTCTGACTTCATTGGATCCCTCCACTCTGAAATCAGAAAGGCCAGTGCCCAAGACTTGGGATCATCTCCTGGGTGATGATCCATACCGAACAGCACATGCTCGTGGTAACAGGATTTCCATTTTCTGATAACTCAGAGGAGCACATCACTGCAGTGCGGCAGGCTAACACGCTGCGCTCTGACCACTGATGCTGCTTCTCTTCTGCCCGGGAAGCCGGACCAGTTGGATGCCGTTTTGTACATCTGCAGGATGTTTCTCTCGGATGACGATGTGCTCTAGCACTGCAATTCCATCCGCTTTAAAATACGCCGTCAGCCACGCTCCACTGAGAGGCTGATGTTTTTCTCATAGTAAGTGTTGTCCATGGATTCGTTCGGACATGCTGCACTGGTGAAAGTTGGTTTAGAGCCCTAACTGGGGTTTTTTATTTGCTGTGATGCACAGCCAGAGGGTCTGCCCTCCTCCTGCAGCCAGCACACTGTCCTTCAGCTCACCTCATACCTACACATCCCTTGTCCTTTTCCTTGAACAAGTGTTCAGGCTGTTCAGTCCTCTCTTAGCTGTGAGATGTCATTACCCATGAACAGCTTTCTCACTTTATTATTACTGATGTTGGCATTTGTGTTCCGTTCTTCCAAGTAACATTTGCTGTTAGTGTTTTTCTTTCTTGTCTGTGGGGCTTTTGAGCTTTTCCTCTGAAAGCCAAGCTTCATTCTCCTTCCTCTCTCTAGCTCCAATATCATGATGGCCCTGCAGAGCCCGCCCTTCTCCATACACTGCACCAACATGCTTTTCAATAAGCAGGGGGCAAGGCGGTGCGTGAGCGTCTCCCGCTGAAAACCAGATTGATTTATTGCAGGAGACAATCTGCGTGCGTCCAAATCCCCTCTCATTTCACTTTGCGTATCGCACCTCTCGGATCTCTTGTCATCAAAGTCTGCAGTCGCTGTCAGTTCTCCTGTGTGGCGTGATCGGGGGATGGTCTCTGTCCTTCTGCAAAGCGCTGTTGTTAGGCTTTAAGTTCTCCCTGATTGTAGGAGTATAGCCTTGCTGAGATGAGCCTTTTGTTCCTGCTTCTCTTCTTATACCTGTTAACATCAGCACGTGCTTTAGACTGTCCCAAAGCAAAATGGTTTCTTGAGCTTTTTTCTCAGCCCGTTATCAAATGTGGCTCTTTTCCTGCTCCTTTTTCACAGAAATAATACTTGTTATAAATAGAAGTTTTAAGAAGGCGACTGCAGTGTTCTGTTCAGCTCCCCTCATGGAAGGGGAGATAATGACTGCTCGTATTTGCCAGTCGCAGAGGGCCAATATAGATCCCCCCGATGGGGCAAGTGATGAGCTCTGGCTGCTTGCCTCTGCCTGCTTCGGTTCCCGTGCTGGGGCTGCTCAGGGAGGTGACCCGAGTGGATCGGACCAGGACTTGCATTCGTTTCAGTAGACATCGGGTGGTAACGCTGTCACTTTGGGTTAGATGCAAACTAATGGGATGGCTCCCAATTTTTCCTCTCAGGCTATTAAGTCTCCTATTCTTGTGGGTGGAAATGCTGAGCTGGAAGATCTCCAGTGAGCACCTTACTCTTTAGAAAATGGGCAAGAGAATAGCAGGGGTTGTGGATGCCCTTCATAACCCTTTACTGCCTTTTCCTTTCTTTGGCTGGATCACAGAGACGTTTCTGTGCTAGGGGTTGTATGTACCAAACCAGCGCCGTCTAGCTTGTCCCAAATGTTTGTGTCTCAAGCCAAAACGCAAGGTGAATGGGACTGAAGGTTTGAATCCTCTCCCCAGCGAACACAGGCCCTCAGACAACAGCTTTTCTTAGTTTTGCCTGCAAGTAAACCACTTTCCTTTGCCAATTGCAGCTGAAAACGTCCTGGGGACGCTGAGCAAAGGAGTCTACGTTCTGATGAGTGGATTGGACCTGGAGAGACTGGTGCTGTCTGGTGGGCCACTGGGGTAAGGGTTTGTCACCTTTCATAGCTTGTGAAGCCGGAAGGATCCATCACAATCACCGAGCCCGGCGGGTCTGCAGCGGGCATTGCTGCTCTCAGTAGGATCCATCTTGGATGGAGAACTGGGGCAGCTTCTGAGAGAAGAGGGAAGGCTGGCAGGAGGTGGCTGGGTCAGAGTTGTGGGAAGGAAGCAAGCTGCAGAGGAGGCAGGAGCTGGGAGATCCCATAGCTGCTGGGTACTCTGTCGTAGCTGCCTGCTGCTCCGATGGAATTCTGCTGGAGGGGACTCGGCCCAACACTCCCACGCAGCCACAGCTGGCTCTGCGTGTGCTCCACCTTTTCCTTTAGCTCTCCTCACCCCTCTGCTCCTCAAGCAGTTGCTTTCAGTTTGAAAGCATCTACGTGGAACACCCTCTGAGGGGCGAGGGGCAGAAGAAGCAGTGCCAGAAAGCAAGGTGGCGAACCTCTGCCTTCCAGTGTAGCAGAGCCCACAGACCCTCCAGAGCTTGCTCTGGGAAATTAGACGTAAACATTTCCAGAGGTGGTAAATCTGGTTGGGTCCCCCATTGCTTGCTTGTGTATCCCTACGGTGTGTATTATCTGGGAATAACCAGATCACCTCTGTTACTGATGCCTTACAACCCAAAACACTACCCAGACTGTCATGCAGAAGGACCGCAGGACTGTGTTAAGGGTTTGTTGTGAGAAAGCTCAACGATTTGTCTCCGTGCCCTGAACGAGAGGGTAAGACCTTACCACAAGATGTCCCAGATGAGCAGTGTAGAGCGCCAGGGAGAACAATGGGACCTTTGGATTTTACTCGTAGCGTTCTTGGAGTGGAGCTATAGGAAGAGACCAGCCTATCATTGTAGGTGAGAGAAGCTTTTTGCTGTAGATTGTGCTTCCAAAGTTTAATTATCACTAATTAATAGTTCTGTTGTTTTCCTGCATATCTGTGTATTTCTTAGGCTCATGCAAGCTGTTCTTGACCACGCAATTCCATACCTACATGTAAGAGAAGCATTTGGACAGAAAATTGGCCACTTCCAGGTGAGGCAGGAAAGGAATTAGAAATTGTAGTAATTTTGCTTTTTTTCCTGGAGAGGGTGGGGAGCACTGGGACAGGTTCCCAGAGAAGCTGTGGATGCCCCATCCCTGGGAGTGTCCAAGGCCAGGCTGGATGAGGCTTGGAGCACCCTGGGCTATGGGAGGTGTCCCTGCCCGTGGCAGGGGGTGGCACTGGGGGGGGCTTTAAGGTCGAACCCAAACCATTCTGTGATTCTCTTTGAAAACGAGAAGGCGCAGAGCTCGGTTGTGGGAGGGCTTTGCGTGGAGAAGGTCACCTGGAGTTTGTGCTGGGGCTGCATGGTGTAATGACCTGGTGAGAAGGTGAAGGGATCTCTGAGCCCTTTTACCTGAGGCCACTGTTGGCGGGTGACATCTGGGACTCTGTGAACTGGCAGAACCTCCAGCTCCCTCGTATATGTCTGCCGAATCCGTGTCTTGTCATCCATCTGGTTTCCCTGAGGTGGTGTGGGGAGCAGATGATCCCCAGTGCTGGTGCAGAAAACAATCTTCCCCTCGCTCGTGTTAACGTCTCTCTCGTCTTCCGCGACGTGCAGCTCATGCAGGGCAAGATGGCCGACATGTACACGCGGCTGATGGCGTGCCGGCAGTACGTCTACAACGTGGCGAAGGCCTGTGACCAGGGCCATTTCAACGCCAAGGTGAGCTCGCGTCCGCCCGGGCTGTATCTGCTGGGGGAATTTCCTCCCCCGGGGTCCCAGATCATGAGCAGGGTGGACGTTCTGTACTGCGGGTTAAAATGACTCGCTCACAGCCCTAAGTGTGGGGTGTTTTTCCCCCCTAAACAAAAAGAAAGCCTTGTTCTACAAGGCAACAGATGTAGCAGCGTCAGCAGGTGTTTGTTGGAAGCCCAAGCACAATATCCTGGCTGTGGTGCGGGGCTGGAGCCGTCACTCCGAGGTGTTGTCATCTCCACAGCCGGCACTGTCACCACACCTCTAGCAAAGGAGGGACCTAACAGTGGGAGCACCGAGCCCTGCATCCCAGATCAGATCACACTGGTCTCCGGGGTTGTGATGGGGATTTATGAGACACCAGCTCCCCGGGTCACTTGTTTTTTCTTTTTCTGTCTTCATGTGGCCTTTACAGACCTGACCTGCTGGGAGACAACTTTTTACAAGAGCCTGTAGTGACAGGACAAGGGGTAACGGGTAAAAATTGAAAACAGGGTGGTTTAGATTAGATATCAGGAAGAAATTCTTCACGGAGAGGGTGGTGAGGCACTGGAACAGGTTCCCAGAGAAGCTGTGGATGCCCCATCCCTGGGAGTGTCCAAGGCCAGGCTGGATGAGGCTGGGAGCACCCTGGGCTATGGAAGGTGTCCCTGCCCATGGCAGGGGGGTTGGAACTAGATGGTCTTTAAGGTCCCTTCTAACCCAAACCATTCTGTGATTCTATGATTCTATGACACGAGCGCTCTGTAGTGACAGAAAGGCTGCTGCAGCTTCTTGTTTGCTGGGGAATGAATCCTGAGCCTTTGCGATCAAGTAGTTGAGGCTTGTTAGCAGATGTCTGTGGAGTAGTGGAAAGGTCGGAGCAACAGGGAGGTTGGGGAGGGGGCAGGTGACACTTTCCTGACTGTCATCACTGCGACTCTCCTTTAGGACTGCGCTGGAGTGATCCTGTATTCAGCGGAATGTGCCACCCAGGTGGCTCTGGATGGGATTCAGTGTCTGGGTGAGTCCCTGGCAGCGGTTGTTGCTTTGAGGGATTGCTGGAGTGAACCAAGCGCAGTGCAGAGCGGTGCTCCCTCCTGTCCCCCCCCCAGCCCCTGAAATCAGAGAGGAGAAATGACTTTTGCCTTCTCTCTGATTGCAGGTGGGAACGGGTACATCAATGACTATCCGATGGGGCGCTTCCTGCGGGACGCCAAGCTCTACGAGATAGGGGCAGGCACCAGTGAGGTGCGCAGACTCATCATTGGCCGGGCGTTTAATGCCACTTTCAAGTAACGTCCACCAGTGCAGGGGCAGCACCCTGACCACCACGAGGCCTTGGATCACAGAGGCTGGAGCGCACAACTCCCATTTTCTTCCTGCTTCTGGCTCTGGGATCGTCACTTCTGGACTCTCCTGCCTGCTCTGTGGACAGATGCTGCTGGACTGGGCTTTGGCAAAATGAATCAGATGGTAGCATGGAAGGAAATGTGTTTTTTCCTCTTCTCGTCATCATCCTGATTCATCCCGTTCCTCAGCCATCCTGATTCTCCGCGTTACAGGGCTGAGGTTCACCCAGGGGACGTACCATCCAAGCAGGCTGGTGAGCTCGCTGCCTGAGGTGAGGCAGCCATCGCTGAGCTCAAAGTCAACCCCTCTCCCAAAAAAAAGGACAACAAGGGAAGAATTTTCTTCTTTTAAAAAAACCCCAAGTGCCATTAAACAGCTTGCTTTTAGTGTTACCCCTGGAAAGTTAAATTTCCCATCGTGACCTTCCGATGGGATTAACAACTTCCGTTTTGGGAGCACAATGCCGACCACATCATGGGGGTGGCTGTCAGGAACACTCGCAGACCGCCGATGCACAAGCAGCATTTTAGGTGACGATTCCTAAAACCTCGTTAAAATACCACATCTGTTTCTTTGCTGCTTCTCAGGGTGTTTCCGTGCAGCCCCAAGCCTTTGCTGCTCTGAGTGACTGCCTCCCGCCGTGTTATTCATCCCGAGGTGTCGCCATCCATCATTCTGGGAACAGTTACGGCGTCAGACCTGCATTGTGAGATCCATGAATGAAGCGGGCAGGAGGAGGTTGACTTTTTGGGGTTGGGGTTACTTGTTTCTTTCTGAAGGTTGTTCTTTTGGCAAAAGCCCGTGCTCACACTCCTCCCTTGGTTGGCTAGAGAAGTCAGAGCCAGCGCAGCAGTGTCTGTGGGTGTTTTCACTGCATATCGTATACACATTACCTAGCTCTGTTAAAGTGCGCAGCGTACTGCCAGCCTTGAAGGGTGAATCACAAAGAAGGAATGGATGTTGTAAATATGACAGAACAATTAATTAAATAGCTGCTGTGCAGGCAACCTCCCAGCAGTCTTAACAAAACAGCTTAAAGCTGTGTGTATTTTTTTGGTTGTAGTTGACATCTGTCTGTGACAATAGACAACACAGAAGTTTAAAATGCCACGATGAAGAAAAACTCTCTTTCCTCAATTACCAGGTGGGTCACTAAGTGTTTATCAAAGGTACAAATCTTCAGCGAGAGGTAGAAAGAGCTTCTGATGGCAGGGTGGTAGTGCCTCCTTCCTAAACGTCGTGTGGATGGCTGTCTCTCTGGAAGTGTCCCAGGGTTTCGTTTTCAGCCTTAATTGCTGGGTGGAGGTAGCAGAGTCGACAGACTTGGCCTGTCAAGAATATCTTCAAGAAGTTCTTCACAGAGAGGGTGGTGAGGCACTGGAACAGGTTGCCCAGAGATGTTGTGGATGCCCCATCCCTGGATGTCTTCAAGGCCAGGCTGGATGTGGCTTTGAGCAACCTGGTCTAGTGGAAGTGGTCCCTGCCCATGGCAGGGGGGTTGGAACTGGATGGTCTTTAAGGGCCCTTCCAACCCAACCCATTCTATGATTCTATGATCTTGTTGAGCTCACCTGGAAATGCTCTGTAAACAGCCTCAAAGCCCAAGTGAAGAACACTGCCTGCAAGAAACACTAAGTGCCTTACTGTACGTTAACGTAAGAATTTATTTCTGTGACCAGATATTCGCATTTTATCACAGAATGATTGCAGATGTTGCCTTCTGTACGTGCAGTTCAACCTGCTGCAGTTAGTGCTCCCAGGCTAGTGTCCTGTGAAAGACCCGAGGGCAGGAGTTTTCACATCAGCCCAAGCGATCTGGGTTCCTGCCGTGATGAGTAGGGACAGTTGTGCAGCCCTGAGCCCTCGGCCCTTCCAGCACTGCCCGCGGGCTGCCCCTGTGCTTTTCCAGCCAGGGCATGTTGGCAGCAACCAGTGCTGCAGAGCTCATCCCCCCTCTGCGGTTTCTGTGCCCCAGTGAAATGGCAAATCCGGCTGGAGAGGTGCTGGGAGCACTTGCAGGGGTGATGAGCACAGGCACAGCTCCAACACCTCTCGGGAATGCCTGGTTTACCTGTTTGGCTTCCTAACGCAGGAATGAGTCACTGCAGTTTTCCTTGGAGACTCTCAAAAGAACGTGGGGATGGATTGCCTGTACCATCCATCCCTGGCCAGAGGAGCTTCTCGAGTGCGTTAGAGCCACGTCAGGACGTTGTGAGACTCAGATTGTTACAAATAAGGTTTTTTCAAAGGTGGAAGGGACCTGCAGATTTTTAAAGCTGTCCTCTGACACTGCGGAGGTCCGACTTCAATACACGGGATAAATAATGCCTTCGCTTTCTAGGCTGATCAGCACCTTGGAGTTAAAGGTACAATGAATCGGTGTCGAACGCGTCATGGGACAGAGCGGAGGGAGAGATTCATAAATCCTAGGCAGGGCTGTGTTCATCGAATCTCACTCGCTTCCCCAGCAGCGCGGCGCACGCTGCCCTGCGAAAGCGCCAGCTTTCCTTGGCTGACCAGGCTCCGCTGCAGTGTGAAGAGAAGGGCTGGGGAGGGCTTTTCACGGGATAAGGGGTTTAATCTTTCACGATGCTAATAAAATCAGCTTTTCCGAGGTGGCCTGTGCTCCTGGGGGTGTTTCCCAGTGAGGGACGATGCAGGCCTTGGCCGGTACCCACTGCAGCGCATCCAGGCCGGCAGCAGCAGAGGGTACAGCGTGGCTTCCCATGTCCCTCCCTCTGTCTTACCATCCACAGCTTTTTCCCCTCTCATTTAAATAAGAAAAAAATATAGTGATATATCTGGGCTGTGCCTCGTGCCTCGTCCGGAGAGCAGCAGAGCTAATGGGGAAAACGTGCAAGGGTGCCGTGCCTCTGGACATGACCCTAACGGCGTCTGCTCTGAATTTCTGACGGAAGTTGCCCTAGCCTGGTGAGGCTTTGGCCATGGCAGGGTGACGCTGCTGCACCTTGCCTGGTTTTCAAGATCTGTGCCCCGTTGGCAGCTGGCCGGCTACAAAGAAAGCGCGGTGAGCAGAGGGGTTTGTTTGTGAAGGTAAGCACTGAGTTTCTTTCAGCAGCGGGTATAAAGGGGGGGGTTCTGAATGAGGCAGGTGTCAGGGGAGTGTCTCGTAGCTTACTGGGAACCCCCAAGTGCTGCCTGTCCTGGGCGAGGCAGGACTGAGCCTGCACCCAGCAGCACCCGCCAGCTCGGCGCGTTGCGAGGCACTGCCGGATGGTTCTGCGTGTGAAACCATCCGTCCGGCAGCACTGGGTGCGTTCCACAGGTTCGCAGTGTGTTGATTTCTGGAAAAACCATGCCAGGTTCCTGCGCTGGAGCTGCTGGCTCCTGGGGCATCCAGCTCCGGTGATTTATTTCTCGCTGTGTGGGGTCAGAGCTGCCCCGCAGCTCGTTCCCTGTGGTTGAACACCTGATGGAGGAACAGTCTGAGCAGAATGTCCTGAAGGTAGCAAAGCTCCGGCTCGGTTTGATCTCTTAGGAGGGAATTTTGCAGCCAGAGGCGTTCTGCTGAGGAGCAGCTCCACTCGCCCCGAGGATGTGCTGACCTGGGGATGCTGGTGGGCTGCGGTGGGTGGGTGTGCGAGGCCGAGGCTCTCACAGCAGAGAGCGGGTTCTTGATGTTTTGGGCACTGGAGGGGGAGGAAGGTCTGGGTCAGCGTTCCTGCCGTGCATGCTGCAGCTCTGCTCTCTCCTAGCTCCTCAGCGGCACATACCGACACCATTTGCAGGAAGAAACCTGTTCCATGTCCTTAATCGATGCCCCTTTGCTCCCTGAGTCCCCTCTGGAGTTGTGTGCAGGAAAAGTCAGCTTGTCCTGGAAAAGCTGGGCTTGTGCTGAGCTACAGCACTGCCAGAACAGGTGTTTGATGCAGAAGCTCCTGTCAAAAGGAAAGAGGCGGATGGAGTGGAGACGACAGGCTGTAGCACCTCCGGTGGTCTCTGGGCAGATGGGACCATGGCTTCTCCAAGCCGTGTCCAAAACCGGAGTTTACACAGGAGGCCGTGTCTGTGGGGATGCCCCCAGCATCAGGGTAGCGTTTGGTTCATAAACACACCAGGGACACGGGGTTTAAATACGTCTGCGAAGTCAAAACCCCTGCGGGGGGACGGGCTGTGCTTTGTATCGAGGACTGTTTGCGAGGGGAGCTGCGGCGAGGGGCTGAGCTGTGGGTGAGCAAACCTCGGCCAGCCTGGCGAGGTCAAACCATGCCGAGCCATGTGGGAGAGGGAGCAGAGCTTGGGCAGTGTCCTGGGCAGGGCAGTGCCTGTCCCCACTTCTCAGCAGGCACCTGTGTGGGTTGGTTTCCCTCCCAAAAAACCACCTCCTGAGCCCTGGGGGGGCCTGCTGGGGCTGCAGATGGGATTTCCAGTCTGCTGCCCTGCTGTAGGACCACCTGCTCCCCTCGGCAGCTCCCTGCAGAGCCCGCAGCCCCAGCTCCATCCCGCCGGGAAAGGCAGGATCCATCACCCCCCACTTCAGGGCAGCCTGTGTGCTCGTTTCTGTGCACGTGTGGGGCAGAGGATGCGGTTTCTTGCCTGTTGGGCTGCTCCAGGAGGGGAAGGGAGGGTTTGGTAACCTCTGGGGAGGATGATGTTTCCCTCTTGCACCCAGCTTTGCTGTGCAATTTCAGTACAGGGTGACATATAACGAAAGTGTCATCGAGTCTTGTTTTCGCTGTACGGAGGAGTGTGCTGAGGCTGAGCCCTGCGACGGTGCCCGAGCGTCATGCAGCGGGCTGCTCCATCCCCGCTGGTGAGCATCCCTCCTGCCTCCCTGAGCAGCCCTGCACGGTGCCGCATCCCAAGGCTCCGCTGGGCTGGGCTCTCGCGTGCCTCCCGGCCTTCCCCGGGGCTCCGGCAGAGCTGGCTGCGGTTAAACGTCGGTGATGCAGCAGAGCCCCGCTGCTGGGTCACCTCCGTGTTTCCCACACGTGGGTGAGCTGGTTTCCCTGCCAGGGTGGGGGTGAGAGCCCGTGCAACCGCAG